ATGGGGGTCTGAAAAATGCTGAAGAGTTACAGTATCACTGATAGTAATTACCATGCATGACTGTAATACAAAGTTCTGTTTTCTGATTTTCAATGTCAGAATTCATTACTGGCATGTTTCTTATGAAGTGAGATACATTTTGTATGTTGTGTGCATTAATTGAAATATTGGAGAGAAGGTACCAGACTGTGTGTTCTATAGTTTACAGTATATCACTGTTTTAATTTAGCTTGAAATTATTTACAGTCATGGATTGAGAGCCTCATCAGGAGAATCCCTGGAAAAATACCCAAATTCAATGACACCAAAGAATGTGGAGTCCATTGAATCCCTGGGTGAAGGAGAAGATGCAGAGTACCATGTTGATGAAGCTCTGGAAAGGATGGCAGAGGCCATATTGCTTTTGAAACTGCTGGAAACATCTTCATTTTTTGAAACCCTACCAATTAAAAACTGGGAAGTGGCTCCTGCTGATGCTCAATCCAAAGAACTTGACAGACTGTTCATTGGTGACAGAGAATCCACTGTCATTCATTCTTGGAAACCCCCTCACAGATGCTCTGTACATTTTTTGGCAGGTCATTTAATATTCTTTCACTTGAAGACCATGTCAGGACAGGTCTTTGAGATCCCATGCAAGATTGTAAAGAAGAACCAGTTTGCTGAGGCAGCCACTGTGACTTTGGGATTTGGACTCTTTCCCAGACTCACATTCATCAACCATTCATGTTTTTCCAATTTGCATGTTTCAACTGCTGCCAATGGGGAGGTTGTGGCAAGGATTGTATATCCAGTCAAGGATAATCAGGAGTTGACAATTTCCTATGGTGACATTGGGTATTTCAGTGACCAGCCCAGAGATGCACGCGCAAGTGCTGCTGCAAAATTGTTAAGTGGACCAACGTTTTGCATCCCAATGTTGGGTTCTTTTTACTCAAACACTTATTTCATAAAACAAGTTTTAGTACAAAAGAAACTGTGCTGGTAGAAGTTTACACCAGTGTTTCCCAACCCATGGTAAGTGGACCAGCACTTAGTCTGTGGAAGTTTTTTGCCAGTCCACAGGAAATTCTCACCATAATACATTTACCAAAAGTAGCACTGAAGTCTCTTATCTTCATTTAAAATCTTGAAAATAATTGCAGATGAAATTATCTGACAAAAAATAAGAGTTGGCTTTTTCCTAATAACGCTTAAGCTGAAATAAATTGCTCACACTTTTCATTAAAAAGCTTTCTGCAAGCCTACCTTAATAAATTTTTGATGACATTCTATGGCTGCTTCATTGGTGTTTAAACTAATTTTTTGCAGAAGATCAGAAACTTTTAAATACCTGCTATAAAGNTGGCTGCTTCATTGGTGTTTAAACTAATTTTTTGCAGAAGATCAGAAACTTTTAAATACCTGCTATAAAGTCTTGCAAGTAAAAATGTTTATAAGTCAGAAACACTTCAGATCTTCTCTTGCTGGGAAGATTAGTCACTAATGTGCTGATAAGATAATATATATTTTCATGCATTATTTCACAATTTAACTTTAAATTGTAGACTCAATTCATAAACCATTGCCTGTTTAAGTTTACAATTTTAAACTTGTCTCCTGATGCTCAATTTTCTGGATTATTTCTCACCACATATTTTGGGCAATGAAAATACTAATGGGGTATAAAGGAAAATAGCTGTTGAATTCAATTCAGTGTACTAAAAAGTTTTAATTTTGTAGGTGGGACTTTGCTTGTGAATGCCAAGCTTGCACAGAAAACTGGCCTCTTGCCTGGGACATGAACCAGGACTTGGAGCTGTGCTGTCCATCCTGCACAACACCTTTGCCAACAGGTTAGAGCAGAAGAATTAAACAAATCCCACCAGATCTCTGAGAAGCTGATTTTATTGCCTCCCAAGAAGAAGTGATTGACAGGGTCACAACAGGAAACACTTGCATATGTCCAACATGTGAACATGACCAAACCCAAGTCCTCTTGGAGCTGGCTGATGAATTTCTGTCAACTGACAACAAACTGTCATCTTCAACTGCACTTTTTCCTATTCCAAAATCCTATCAGAAGTCCTACAAACTCCTGTTTGTCAGTGGGCGCCCTGAAGCAGCTGCTCATATGATGGAGTCTTTTTTGACCAAATTCAGCTCACTTTTCAAGATGCCCAGTTACCCCATCACTCTGGCCACAACACACTTGTTCAACTGTTACAATTTCATGCATAATAATGTTTTCTTTGATGACTGATTAATCATTGGGAGGAATTGAATAAAGGGTTTTGCAGAACTCTGAGGATGAGTCTTTCAGCTGCCATGAGAACCTGAATGAAGGACAGTCCAAGGTAAAGACCCCAAGTGCCTCCAAGTTCACTCATGAGCTGATGGAAATCATAAGCATACTGTTGACTGACCACTTTCATCTCATTTGATGAAAACTCAATATCCACACCACTTTCCTTGGGCTGTGTCTCATTCAGTAACTTGACAGAGTTGAAGTTGACATCCATGGCACTGCCTGACAAGTCTGTCCAGGAGTAGTGGTAAGTTGTGCAGGGCTTGGGACACTGGTCCAAGCAACTTGAATGTGCTTGTCTCCCTTTAATGGTCCAATCAAGTGCTAACCATTTCTGGTAATCCTCAATAGAGGAGCAAATCTTCACATTTTCATTATTTGTCCCCGGTAAGCGACATGTGTGCTCCATGAAAGTGTTTTCCAGGCATTCTGCCTTGCACTGCAATTTCATAAACCATGATAAGATTTTTTGAATATGCTGTAGTGGTACCCCCTAATGTGGACATAATTGGTGCATCAACTGTGTCCCTATGTTGGAACATCCCAATGTCAAAATCAAAATATTTTTAATTGGTTTTCCTAATACGTAGATCAAAATTAAAGTCTCCCCAAAAATAGAAAGAAATAATGTTATCAACTTAAAAATACTGAAAATAAATGTATGGAAGAAAACCAGACAGAATCTGATCTTTTGACAGAAAAATCTTAAGAAGCAAAAAAAAACCAGTTTTGCCATACTGAGCACAAATGATCAAATACATTTACTGTATGTCAGTAAGCAAAAAATTAGCTCCTTTTGAATTATGAATTTTGGTAATTTAAAGTAACCTTTATTTCTAGTATTTGTAACTGTAAATAACTCAATTTCTTCAACAAATCTGAAAATTTTGAAAAATGAAAACTAAAATGTTTTCAGACATTTTGGGGAAATGTCTGTAAGTCAAGTCAGTGTCCAAATGTTGAGTCAGATTCTTTTAAGTTTTAAGTTTCCCCAAGTCAAATTGTCCATAAGTCAATAAGGTGTCTGCATTTCAGGGTCACACTGTAATGTACTCCAAGAAGATTCAGTGGACAAAAAGACAAATTCTGCCTTGAAAGACAAGTTGAGTAAATTTGAAAACATGAAACAGAACTCACCAATTTAGAGGTTGCAAGTAATGAAATGTCATGGGTGCATGGATTGGAGCTTGTACTGAGCATTTCATA